TATATATATATATGTATATGTATAAAACTTATAAGTTTTTAATCTAGTAAGAAAATAAGAACTTCACCTCACTTCAAATATTGTATTTTTATATACAAATAAAAAAGTATTTAAAATTTTTAAATTTTTTATAATGTTATGTTTTTTTTATTACATTATAATGTTTATTTATACAAATAATAATAAGTTTTACATACAAATCCTGATATTATTACTTTTCTAAGAAAATACGTTTAACACCTGAAATATTTGTGCTATTACTAACCATAAATTATTTTGCTGACGTTCCGAAATGAGTTTCAATGCGAGTGAGACTTATACAATTTACATTATATATTTTTAATTTATACATAATTTATGTTTTATAATGTTATATTATCCGTATATTGTTAACGATTTTCGCGACTTTTTAAACATTGATAATGACCTAACAAAGGTCGAAACGTTTGTTTTCATTAATTTTATATTTTTATGTTTATATTAAATTTTATATATTTTTAACACAATGACATAATTATTTTACCATCAATATTACTATTTAACGAATATTTAGGTTCGTAGCTCTGTTTCTTTTTATTATTTTATAAATTATTTATTTAAAAATTACGCATATTCCTTCGCAATCATAAAGAAAAATATTTAGAAGAAATATTTTTGCACATTCTATATAGAACCATTAATCGCAATATAAGCAATGTGCGGGTGCAATTGACTCAAGGTATAAATTTTGTAGAAATAAAATAATAAACAGCAAATAAATACTTATCCTCCGGATATTCCGATGTTGCATGATGTCTCCCACACGTACTTCTCCTTCTTCTCCTTCCGCTAACATATTCCCACTGCTATTTCTTCATAGCATTCATACAAACCTACAAATGTACTTACAAAAAGGCAAGCAGAGATCCTACGCATATAAAATAATTAAATATAACAACGATAAAAAAACTCTGAATGTTATACAACATTTAATATATATGATAGAATAATATAATAAAAAATGTATACATAAACTTGGTCTAGTTTAATGTATGATACAATAAAAGAGAATAGATAAGTTTGGTCTTTTTTTATGACATACAAAAACAATAATTTATCTATTAAAGTATGACAGCAAATAGCGATGATAGAATTCAACAACCTCTAATCTTTATTAAATAAAATAGATGTCGTCTCCATCGACTCCATAAACAAATTAAGTAATGCTTCCCTAACACAGCAATTATATTATAATTCTGATGGCAAATTTACAAATTGCAATAAAATCTAGGTGCCACTTGAAATGCAATAAGAGATACATAAATTATATAAAACATCCTTTCAGATTAATCTCTTCTACATGTGATACAGATATCAATTTCATTATTAAAATATCTTTATTATTCTGTTTTCAATACACTGAAATAATTAATATAAAAATAATCCAATAATGTTGGACCAACAATGTAGAATATATTTTCTTTCTTCAATTACTATAAAAAATCAATTTCTTCTACACAATTGTAAGAGAATATTAGTTAACAATAAATAATGCGCCTTCCAACAATCGACACGGTGCGACACAGTGATCATCTCATCCATGTTATACATTGGCGAACAACAAGGACGTACTGATACATACATTGTGTCACACCGCGACATATGTGTCGCTTGTTGGAAGGCACTCATAGTTAGTTCACTTGACACTATAAATTTCTCTCGTCTTTAAAATGTTATTATTCAGCCTCGTTCGCTATATTGATATAGTATTATCAATGTACTGTAGCCTGAACAATTTTGTTACATAACGACCAGTCGCGAATGATACGTGGTCAGAGTCACATCGATTTATCCAACCAAACGTTACATATTCATTATACGAGAAAAGCAACATGACTGTTGTGCTAGCGACTATGATTCTCGGGGCGCTAATAGCCCTTTACTTTTATTTGACGCGAACTTACAAGTACTGGCAAAAACGTGGAGTTCCATGTGTGGATGGAGTCTTGCCGGGATTCGGTAACATGTTGTCGGTGATTAGCATGAAAACGCATATCGCTGATTTCTGTTCCAAGATTTACAAGGATAACAAAGGTCGCAGCATGGTTGGGATCTATGACTTTACGTCACCGGCATTAATAATCATCGAACCAACACTAGTGAAAGTGGTGCTGCAAACCAATTTTTCAAGTTTTGCTGAAAACGCTGTTCATATTGATGCTGAAACTGACCACCTCTTATCGTATAATCCTTTCTGCCTTTCCGGTGAGAAGTGGTTAAACAGCAGAAAACGATTAACTTACGCATTTTCCAGCATGCGATTAAAAATTCTGCTCGAAAGCGTTAAAAAGGTGTGCGCGACGATGGAGAACTACATGGATAGGCAGCTGAGCAACAACGAAAAGGAGTTTGAACTGAAGGCCTTATTTTCCAGATACTCCGCTCAGGTAGTAGCTGGTGCTGGCTTCGGCGTAGATGGATACTGCTTCGATGACGAAAAAAAAGATATATCTTTCAGAAAAATCCTGCAAGCCATTTTCAAACCGTCTACACGAAGAACAATTATGTACGCTCTCACTTTTCTCATTCCATCGTTGAATAAAATCTTGAAACTAAGCATAGTCCCGAAGCACGTTGACAATTTCTTCAGAACATTAGTTGCAGAACACATGAAACAAAGAAGAAAGGACGGAATACCTAGAAACGATTTCCTCCATTTGATGGCTGAACTGGAGCGAGCGGAGGGCGACAAATTCGATGATTTAATGCTTACGAGTCAGGCGATGTCATTCGTTTTCGACGGCTACGAGACGTCCAGCACTGTTATGAGTTTCATTGGATTTGATTTGGCCCGTCATCCAGAAATACAGGAGAAATTACGAAAAGAGGTGTTATCCGTACTTAACAAAAACAACGGAGAAATCACTTATGAAGGCTTGAAAGAGATGACATATATGGATCAAGTCTTCAATGAAACACTCAGATTGTTACCCGGAGGTTTCGTAATGAAGAAACGTTGCACGGAAGAGTTCGAACTGAAAGGCTCTGATGGAGTTGCCTGTCGCGTGTCACACGGAATGGAAATTTTAATACCAGTTCCAGCTTTCCATAAGGATCCCCAATATTGGGAAAATCCCGAGAAATATGATCCTGAAAGATTCAACTCGGAAAAGAAACACAGCATCGACAGATTCACGTTTCTTCCATTCGGCGAAGGTCCGCGAATATGTGTAGGCATGAGAATGGCCCGGCTGCAGATGAAGGCAGGTTTGGCTATGATTTTGAGAAAATACAAGCTGGAACTGTCACTGAAGACGCGAATACCATTAAAGATGATTTCTAACACTGTACCAGTACCAAAAGGCGGTCTTTGGGCATATTTTAGACAACTTTAAAAACGAAAATCTTTTAATTTTTCCAAGTTTTTAATCGTGCATATTTTTTAATGCCAGAACAAAGTTTGTAATTAATCTTTATGTAAAAATGATATTCTCTATAAATTTGGGTAGTTTTAAGTACTGCAGCTTTAAAAAATTTGAAAAAGTATTTGGGGTTTTCGTATGAAAATATTTCCGTGAGTTATAAATTAAGCAAGGAAATAAACAAAAATTTAATTATTTATGTACAAACATAAATAATCAATATAAATAGAACCATGTTTTAACGTGTTTTTTGTATAAATGTTATAATTGTGTGTTCTTAGTTTAGTAAAGAAGTATTACTCAGCTTTACCGTCTTCAATTACTGTACCTTGAATAAAAATTAAAATATCAAAATTTTTGAAATCATGAAGAATTTTAAAAACACTTTTGAATGAAAAATTAATCCTCTGTTACTAACATTAGCTATTGTTTTAGTACAAAATAATTAAAGTAAAACAAATTTTTGCACTGCTAATTGAAAACTATTATTATTTTATACTATTTTTAGATCCATCATTTAAATACATTTACATAATGAAATTGTTATTCAGCTGCTTAGTAAACAGTACTGCTACTGCGCTACTGGATGCATCTATTGTACCAGTCTCCATGTGAAACGCCACGCGGAAAGTGTTTCCTGTATTATCGTTTTTTTAATAAAACGCAAAAGTTAAAACGCGCTGTATAAGCGTCATGGACTTTAATTGCGCAAGCGATAACGCATAAAATATTTGCTGTTGTGTCGCCACATGGCGACGTAGAAGCCTCTCGAGTAATGACAGATTAGATAGTCTGCGCATTTGCTACGTGTCTAAAATCGTTGGGTTTATAATTTTATTTAAGAAATTCAGAACTACACTTATAATAGTAATCCATAATTTGTCATTAAAACTAATATTTTGGATGTTGCAAATTTTTCTTTTATTATATGTCTGAACGAAACACACCTATATACAAATATATACATATATATGTACGTATATAAAGAAATATTTAAACGGATTATAATTATTATAAATATCCTACATTTTTCCGTAAAAAGATTACATCCTTGCCCATTTTCTTAATAAATTAAAAATTTATAAAAAGTGTATGAGAAAATATATTGTAAACAATAAAATTATACCTTTTTTTTTCTTATGTAAAAATACAATAATTAAAATGTGTTTAAATATACAAAAATATTTTATTTTTATATGCAAATTAATTACACAAATATTTCCTTCGGCAATAAAAAATTATTTATGACGTTGAAAATTAGAAAGAAATTTAAAACAAGGTACATTTAAAGCTTTCGAAAATAAACCCACAGCCCGCCGTACGGTGTTGGTAAAAAATTACCAGGGATCATTTTTAAAGGTATTTGAGTCTTTGGAGATAATTCCATCTTGTATTTTCTTAAAATTGTTGTCAAAACTGTCTTCATTTGTAGTTGAGCCATTCTCATGCCGAGACACATTCGAGGGCCTGCACCAAATGGAAGAAACGCGAATTTCTCGATGTTTTTCCTTTCCGAATTAAACCTTTCAGGATCGTATTCTTCGGGATTTTCCCAGTATTGAGGATCTTTCTGCAGACCTTGGGCTGGAATAAAAATCTCTGTTCCGGGTTCTACGCGACAAGTAATTCCATCCGATCCTTTCAGTTCGCACTCTTCCGTGCAACGTTTTTTTATCATCACTCCTGCGGGTAACAATCTGAGTGTTTCATTCAATACTTGCTCCATATATGTCATTTCGTTCAAGCCTTCATAAGTAATTTCTCCGTTATATTTCTTAAGTACGGATAACACTTCTTCCCGTAATTTTTCCTGTATTTCTGGACGATAGGCCAAATCAAATCCAACGAAGCTCAAAACAGTGCTGGACGTATCATAGCCGTCAATGATGAACGACATAGCATGAGCCGTGATCATTTCAAGGTCAAATTTATCGCCTTCCGCTTTCTCCTGTTCAACCATCAAATGAAGAAAATCATTTCTGGGTATTCCGTCTTTTCTTCTTTGCTCTATGAGTTCTGGAACCAGTTCCCTAAAGAATTTGTCAACGTGCTTTGGAATGAAGCCTAATTTAAAGATTTTACTTAATGATGGAGCCAGAATGAAGACAACGAACGCAAATGAATTTCGTAATGACGGCTTGAAAATGGATTGTCCAAGTTTTTTGAAGGATATATTCTTTTTCTCGTCATCGAAGCAGAATCCATCTACGCCAAAACCAGCGGCGGCTACCACCTGTGCGGTGTACCTGGCAAACAAGCTCTTTATTTCGAATTCCGTCTGTTTATTGTTCAGCTTTTCGTCCATGTATTTTTCGAATGTTATACACACTTGTTTAACACTTTCTAACAGCATCTTCAATCGCATGGGAGTGAATGCATAAGCCACGCGTTTTCTGTTGTACGCCCACTTCTCACCATCAAGGACAAATGGATTATGTGAAAGAAGTGGGTCTGCTTCAGGATTAACATCAACGGCGTTTTTAGAGAAACTTGAAAAATTGGTTTGTGTCACCGTTTTTATCAACTCGGGTTCTAAGACCATCAACGCTGGCGACGTGAAGTCGTAGAGACCGACCATGCTGCGACCCTTGTTATCATTGTAAATCTTGCAGCAGAAGTCAGAAAGATCCGTTCTCATTAAGATCACCGACAACATGTTACCAAATCCGGGCAAGGCACCATCCACGCACGGAATTCCACGTTTTTGCCAATACTTGTAATTTCGCGTCAGGTAAAAGTAAAAAGCTATAAACGCCCCAAGAATCAAAGATACCAGTATGACAGTCATTTTGCTTTTCTTGGACGATGAATAACGTTTGGTTGGATAAATCGATGTAGCCTTAACTACATATCGTCCGCGACTGGTTGTGATGCAGCGAAATCGTGGTAACTATAATAGTTTGCACCGATATAACATTAGTAAAGTGAGCGGAGTGTGAAGCGGTAATAACCTTGCATTGGCGTTTTTTACTTCTATATTGACTTTACTACGCCGCGTCGTAGTATTTTCCAGTTTAGAAAAGTAGAGGGGAGTTACGTAACATTTTTTATCTTAATATAAAAATGTAAAGGATGCAAAATTCTATTTCCATATGTTTTTTAGGAAATAAATAATGAATAAAATTTAAACATTAAAACTATAATTTTGTTTTGGAAAAGTATTATATTTATTATAATAATGAATATCTACGTGGAAAATATTGAAAAAAGTCATTTATAATAATTATTTAAATTCAATTTGGATATTTGTGATAATTCTGATAAAAACAACTTTGCTATATGTTTTCACTAGCATAACTTTATATTTAAAGAGATTTGAAGAAAATTTCATACTCTAATCTTACATGAAAATAAAACAGTAAAATCTCATTTTCTTAATTTCAAGTCGTTCTTTAAACTTTATTCTTTTATATCCATATATACAAAATTTTTATATTCTTTGTACAATTAAATTATTTGGAATTTTCTTTTTCATATGAATTTAAATTATTTTAGAAAATTATTTAAAAGGAACTATATTGTCAAAAGATCTGAAAAAGAGATGTCTACATATTAATTACAAACTTATTGTTAATATTTAATCAAATCCTTATTATGTATCCTTATTAGTATGTATTACGTAATAAAATCAAAGAACTTTCGTATAATATTTTTTGTAATTGTACAAAATATATTAATCCCCGTATTGAAGAAAAATATATATAATAAATAGTAAAGTACTCTTAATTTTTAAAAACAATAATAGGTTAAATGGCACGTAATATATATATTTCATTTATTGTCTGACTTTCTCACCGACAACATAGTCAAATTTTTAACTTAACAACGACTGTGAACAATTTTCACTTTATGACATATTTTTTTCACGATAATTTGTTATTGTACTAACGAGAGTTGCTTCATTTATGACCATCATGAAGTTATACTATCAATCGGTCATGAAACCTTTTGCGAACTCTATTGTCTTGAAGAAAGATTGAAACAAATATCGATGCACAATCATACAATTCGAACTTATAACAACTTTAATTATGACCGTAAATATATATCATTACGTCTTTTTAATTATCTGAGGATGGCCTAATCAGGAGACCGAAACATGTCATAATTGTTCTGTATTGTGATTTTCAATTAATATATTTTGTTTTAATTTTTGACTATCTTACATATTTGAAATTATTAACTGACTCTTACGTACCACTCAACTATTGTTATTTTTAATAAAGTATATAATATATAAAAGTATTTAATTAAATTTAATTTTTAAACTATATTTTTATATTGTACTAAAGACAAAATAATAAAAATATTTTAATGATGTAATTAAGCTATGTAAAAGAAGAGATTAATCAGAAAAGGATTGCGTTATTTATAGATTATTATTCATTGCTTGTTCAAAAGCAACATATTTTTTATTTCAACTTGCAACTGTGCGATCAGAGTAATGATCGAAATCAAGAAAACATATCTTGAGATGTTTTTCGAGATTGATTTTACATTGACGTAATCTAATAAAAAAGATTCCATTTCGCTATTTGCTATCGAATACTTGTAGCTATCGGTGTATGCGAAAAAAAAAACTAAACTTATACAATTTTCTATATTATGTATATACATATATCAAGCAAATATATATATAGTGAAAACGTACAAGTACATGGTACATCATGTTATCATTGAATAACAGCTAGCAATTGCACTACTGATTGTGAATTACTCGTTCTAGTTTTTGATATATAGAGTAACGCACAAGAATCGTTTCAATGTCAAGTTCGCCTATACCGGGTGTCCGGGGTGTCCCAGTAACTCTGTTACAAGGCAATATCTCTGTTACCGTTAATGATACGCGAAAATGTCTAAGGAAGAAATTGTTTGGTTCGGAGGGGAACACGTATGGGTCACCTTGTTTCTTTTCTAGGTGGAGGCGCTAAAAAGGTATGAAGGTCACCTCCACTTTTTTAAATGGAATTATGTAATTTTTATTATAGATAACGTGATTCCTCTAATTATTTTGCATATAAAAGTATTAAGGTAGAGATACCAAAAAACCAATAGTTTTCAAGATATTTTACACTTTATTTTGATACATATTGACACAATATGTTAAATAACTCGTAAACTGTTGATTTTTTATTATCGTACCTTAATACTTTTATATGCAAAATAATTAGAGAAATCACGTTATCTAATAATTCCATATTACATAATTCCATTTAAAAAAGTGGAGGTGACCTTCATATCTTTTTAGCGTCTCCACCTAGAAAAGAAACAAGGTGACCAATACATGTTCCCTTCCGAACCAAACAATTTCTTCCTTAGACATTTTCGCGTATCATTAACGGTAACAGAGATATTGCCTTGTAACAGAGTTACTGGGACACCCTGTATATGTAGTATAAAAATAATTAAGTTATATTCGACAAGTGATAATATATTACGAGATTATTTTTAATTTTTGAGAAGATGAATAAAATTTCCTATATCATATACTATGCGACATCACATAATAAACCGCATAAAACAATTACATGACATATTCAGATTACCGCGTTCGCCATCCTGCCATTATGCTCGTTTATATCGCTATCGTCCCCATGTGTTATTTCTGAGGGTGATGCAATTGCAATTGATAAGAGTCGTTTAACGAACATCTCTTGGACCTTGGTTGATCTCTCAGTATCCGTCAGATCTTCTTGAAAGCAGTAATATGACTGTCACGCTTTTGTTGTCCATTCTTGTAGTTCTGGTGATTCTCTATCTCTACTTGACGAGAAATTATAAATATTGGCAAAAACGTGGAATACCTTGTCCGGATGGCGCCTTGCCTGGTGTCGGTCACTTATGGGAAGTTGCCACACAGAAGGTCATCATGGCCGAGTACTGTTCCAAGATCTACCATGCTTATCGGGATCGCAGTATGGTAGGAATTTACAGCTTTATGACGCCGGCATTGATGGTTCGCGATCCGGAGCTTGTAAAGACGGTGCTGCAGACCAGTTTTACGAATTTCCACGAGAATGGCTTGAAGATCGACCCCAAATTAGACCCTCTTCTGGCGAACAATCCCTTTTTCAGTTACGGTGAAAAATGGATGACCGGAAGAAAGCGCTTGACCTATGCGTTCTCCAGCATGCGATTGAAACTCCTACTCGAGACCGTTAAGCAGGTGTGTAAGACATTCGAAGGCTACCTGGACAAAAAAATAGACAAAGCTAGGAAAGTGGAGTTAGAGTTAAAGGACTTGTTTGCTAGATTCACCTCGCAGGTGGTATCTAGCGCTGGCTTTGGCGTGGATGGCTTAAGCTTTGACGAGGAGAAGGAGAAGGAATCTTTCTATGCAATGGGCAAGAGCTTCCTTGATGCGGGCGTTTTGAACAACATTATCTTCACTATTACTTTTTTTATACCAGTCTTGGGCAAAATTTTCAAGACAAGGTTCTTACCGAAAAAGGCTGATCATTTTTTTCGAGCGATCATTGCGAACGTTATAGAGCAAAGAAGAAAAGAAACGACACCCAGAAACGATTTTCTCCAGTTGATGGTTGATTTGGAACGAACGGAAGGCGATAAGTTTGACTTAGAAGTTCTCACATCTCACGCGGTGTCGTTTTTTATCGACGGTTATGAAACTTCCAGCTCTGCCTTAAGTTTTATCGGTTTCAACTTGGCCAGTTATCCAAAAGTACAGGAGAAGTTACGCAAGGAAGTGATATCTGTGCTTAATAAATACGATGGTGTGATTACTTACGAAGCCTTAAAAGATATGACGTACATGGATCAGGTGATAAACGAATCGATGAGAGTCATACCCACTCTGGGATTTCTAAACAAGGTTTGTACAGAAGAGACTGATTTGAAAGGGTTTGATGGGCTCGTCTGTCACGTAGAACGTGGAACGCACATCTTGATACCCATTAGTGGCCTGCAAGAAGACCCACAATACTGGGAGGATCCCAAAAAATTCGATCCCGATAGATTTGGCCCAGATAGGAAGCACAGCATCGAAAAATTCACCTTTCTTCCCTTCGGCGAAGGACCGCGAATTTGCGTAGGAATGAGAATGGCTCAGTTACAGATAAAAGCTTGTTTGGCTACGTTCCTGACAAAATATAGCATAGAGCTTTCTCCAAAGACACAGTTACCTTTAAAATTCGTAGCTTCAACCTTTCTGGCTCTTGCAGAAGGCGGTCTTTGGACCATTATCCGGCCGATTTAATTATGAGGATCTTTCTTTGACATTATTTTAACAAATTTTTTAGAGTATTATTCGGTCAATTTAATGACGAAATTTTTTACATCTTTTTTTCTTAAATTTATTTTTTTCTACAACATGAATTTTGCACTATATTAATTTTTGTGAAATCATTTTATGAAATTGTTTTTTCTGATAAATATTTTTTGATGGTTTTATAAATGATACTTTAACAGAAAAATTGTATATAAAAGGTAAATATATTAAAAACATTTTTTTTTTAATTAAAATGTGATGTAAATATTTTGTGTATTTGAAAAATTGTATACTTTATGATATTTTACTGTTTGAGGTATATATATATAGATACAATTTATGATAAATATTTTTAACTACTAGATTTTCAATTATTTTATCGCGTCTTCAAATATTATTGAAAAAGAAATGATGTTTAAAAGCAAGCATTATTGCATAACAATTATTGCGCAACAATTCCGATAGAAGTTGTCAATTATGTATAGCTCGATAATATTGTAATGTAAAATTTAAACGATCATGACAATGCATATTTTATAAGTGATTTTTTTCTGTGCAGATGGCAATAATGTGTATAAACATATTAAATATAAATACAACAATTTATATTACTAATATATTGTATTATATGTATTATAATTATATGTATCAATTATTTTGTAAAATATAGATAATAATTGTACTGTGTATAAATTACATTGTATTGCAAAATAAATCTTTAGTCTTAACTAAATCATGTAATTGTATTAACAGCAAATGTTAACAAAATTATATAATAATTAAATATAAATTTTTTGCATGCGCAAATTTATCATAAAAGGGAAATGAGTAATGTCGGTGTATAAATAATAAAAATGGTTTTCATATATTACATATGGAATTTCTTTATTAAATGTACCTACATATCTTATGTACATATGTCGTATAACAGCACTTTAGCGTATTTTTCTCACGATTGTTTATATCTTACAATTAGCTTCAGTAAAACTACATTCTCATTATATTAATGTAGGATGATGGAATATATTATTATATATACGTACATTAAAATCTACGAAATAAGGCACTATATGGTGAAACCAAAGTATAATTCTCGCAGGCGATAATCGTAAAACAGTTCGCAAATTAAAATTAATTAAATTAATGATCTGGATTCTGGAACATATAATTTTTTCGGAGTGATGTCAAAGCTTAATGAATGCATCGTGTATCGTGTAGTGTGTGTATGATACCTTAAATTCCTATCATTCTCATTAAACTGACGATCGATTTGTATTTCGCCAATTAAATCTAAATTCTTTAATCTTAATTTGATGATGGAAAGAAAGAGAAAGAGCGAAGGAGGAAAGAAAGAGCGAATTATGCTTGCTTTTGGTGCCGATTTAACAAAACAGTTCTTCGACAAATCCTTTAAAAACAAGAACACGGATTATTAGCATACAACTTCTCGATACGAGTTTTGGAGGTAACAATGGTAACTTAACAATAACGTAATTTTGTATAACATAACCAAGGATACGTAACAAAGATTAGATAACAATAACGATTAGGTGCGTCATAGTGGCTGGCCAAGTATTTCTGACAATTAAATATTTGTCATAAAATTTAGCTGCAAGAAGATTGATTGAATCGGTAACCTCGTTAAAGAATTTAGAAATGCAAGTAAAGTGATTTTTTTTATTTATTATTGGAATATATTAAATAATTCGGTTGCTTCTATTGGTAATATAAATTTTAAATATTTTCCACACATTACAAATTATTTTCAAGAAAGGTAAATTTAGCGAATTATGTGTTTCATATATAAAATTCAAATTTTTATTTTTACGTTTGATTACACATCTATTTTTTTAGAACATACGTTTTATCGTGCTTGCGAGAATCGTATTTTCAACGAGTAAGTCGTACGAATAAATTTTCATATGCCAGAAAGGAAAATATATAAGCGTAAAAATTATTAATTGCCCAATTGGAATAGATTTGATTGATCGCCCTGCCGTCGCATTGTCAACAATAATAAAACAATCTGGAAATGTAATGTTTTCGTAATAAAATCTGAACAGCAAATATTAATAAAGATAATAATATTAGGGATCGAACAAATGGGTATAGGATAGGATAAACAAAAACGGTATTAATAACGAGCGAGATAAATGTGTGTATCGATTATACAATATGTTTAAGGCAGACAAACTAATAACTTCAACGGATCATAATTCAACGCAAAATACCGAACGTGTCTCAACTTTTATTAACTTTTAACAACAATGATTTAACGGGGAGATGGGTATCATTAGAATTCATGCAGATTTTGAAATGTAATAGAATTTCTATTAATTTTGGAATGTAACAGAGCATACATGAATCAGAAAGTTATAGGATTTTTTAAATATAGATTTGGAAACTTACTTTTTAAGACACATACATCAAATTATAATTTGTAAGGTTTTCCTCTTGTTATTGAAATATCTTGGTTAAGAATTCAAAATTTTTTGAAATGGTTGTACACGTCAACTATTGTTGTAAGATTTCAGAAATACAGTAAATATATCGTATATAATGTCAGAATGGAATTTGCAATACTTATTATAGTAACTGAAAGAGGGGAACAAATATTTTCAAAGGTATGAAATAGATTTCCGAATGCGTAATAACAATGATCTACAACATAAACAAAGTATCAACAGTATAATCAACAAAGGATTTAAACATAACTTTTGGACAAAAATGGGAACATTCGAAGTCTCATTAACGGGAAAACATGTGATAATAAGTAACACGGTTAAACAGGCATTAAAGGAAAATGGGATGTAACATCTGATAACGTATTAACAGCAACAACGTGCCAAACAGAAATTCAACGTGAACAACGGGAGAATCTTGGGGATCAGTGTTGGGTGGCCAAAAACGTAAAATTCGACACAAACGTAAACAACAGAAACAATAACATTCAGATAAGCAACATACGAGAAGCATTCAAAAGCAGCATAATACGTTTGCGCGTTATATCTGAACAATTCTCTTTCGTGGAATGTTTTGCGTTTCCTTTCTTTACGAAATGTACCTTAAACGCCTTCGTTTAGATCGTATTATCCCGGACAGAATTAAATTTCAATCGTTACTACAGGCAAAGTACAAATCATTCATATAATCATTTTTTATATCGAGTCCAATGATCTTTTGTTTGGGTAATTAACATAAACGATTTGTTTCTGTAAAAACGTGTGTATGTGTTTACCCTCTAGATCTTAAAACTACATCCTAAAGATATCCAATTCTATAAAGAAAACTGTTAATGTTAAATTATGTCACTTAATTCATCGAATGTATAATAATGTGATTATTCTTAAAGTTGAAAACATTTCTGTTTACTATATTTGGATAAATGTTTATGGATTAATATATGGATATTGATCTAAATTAATTAATTAATTATCTCACGAAAAAATCAATAATCTTAAGTAATCTGTCTACGAGATGAAACTATCAACTGTAAATTAATATCTAATATTTATCTTGTAACTTTCAGCAGACCTATTCTGTATAACTCTTAACGTAAGACTTGTTATCGTTATAACGCCGCTGCGTAGTGGTAACGAAACTTGCGTTAAGAGTTACAAAAGATAGACCCTCAGGTGAATAACGATGTAAAGCTTGACAATGAATTAACAAAGAATTCATGTAATAATTGTATTATTTTGTGGAAATAAAAAAAGTAATCATTAAATTAGAACAATTATTGTTAGCTTAAAGTATTATTAATTTACAATTGACGGACAACATTTCACAACACTAAATATTAGTGTCCACGCGACTTGTTCTTATTACTACTCACAGAAATATCATTCGCTTGTCTTTAAAACATTCCTGTTTTGACTGAGTGTGCGAACGATAAAATTAAAAATTAAATCTAAACGCAAAATACCTACAATACAATTGGGCGTCAATTAAATTACATATATATTAAGTAAGTAATTTATGTTCTACGTTGTATGTCTGTTGGAAAAACGGTCAAAATTCGAATTTTATGTTTTCTCTTCTTGACTTATATTTTATGATTGATTGAAGCACTGAATAATTGAAACAGCAATAAAATAATTTAAACGACATTAAAATACGCAGACACTGAAAGGAACTTTTGTTGGTCTCGCAAAACGACGATTACATATCGCAATCTGCAATGCTTATCACCAAGGCCAATTAAATATTTTGAGGCCTCGAGCCATTTCGTCGATGAGGTCCATGTAACTGATTTTCCGTAAAATGAAAAAGCAATAATAATTCATGTATTCAATTTTTTTTTAAAAATATTCGATAATTTATTACATTAACATTATGTTACACACAGCTCTGAAAAAATAATCTAGCAGAAAAAAATTGGTAAATTGTTAATTGAAATCATTTAAAAACATTTTCGCATTATTTTTTTGTTCGCCGAGCTGCGTATATAAAAAACTCACTGTCTCACGAGTGTGTGTGGTTTTGGGGACTTGGATTTATAGAAATAATTAAATTAACTGTGAGGCCCCCTGGGAAGATGAGGCCCTGGGTCAGTGCCCAGTCTGGCCCATTCCTAGATCCAGTCCTGCTTATCACGATTTTGCGAAACCAACATTTTTTCACATCTTTTCAGCATCTTCGTTATAGTTGTCACAGTTAAATCTTTCATTTTCTTGTAATACAATTATTTATTTCAGCTTTAAAATTACTTTTGTATGTGAGGTATGCTACAGATTTATTATTTTGTGTAGAACATATCAAGCTTTATATTTTCATGCTTGTTTCTTTCGTTTTCTTTTTTTTTTGGATTTTTATGCTCTTCTCTTTTTTATGGATAAAAAAATAAACTAAAAGAAACAAAAAAGGATGTAAAAGAAATTCTAATTGAAAACAAAATGAATAATTGATCAATCCGTGAAATCATCAAAGTATAAATACTCCGAATTCAATAAAAATTAAACAATATGTGATAATAAATGATATAAAATTCACAAAGCACAAAACTAAGAATCTAAAGTGATAACATATTTATTTCGGATGAGTCTTGAATATAACATTTAGATGTGTAAAAGTTTACCATTCTTACAATAATCAGAA